GTAATGTTAAAATCATCATAACATGACGATTGAATATTGATTGTAAGGTTGATTAATAAATCAATTTACTACTTTTGGACAAATTTCATTTATACTCACCTCGAAAAATAATAACAAATAAATTGTGACTGTACCCATATGAAGATTGCATATTTACATTAATTATTGTCTTAATAAATTAAACAAGGGAGAAGATAAAGTTAATTTGAAAAATATAGACTAATTTCGGCGCAATGTAATTTTTTAAAATCACTCTGGGTCTGCATAGTGTAGTACTAATTGACACTTTCAGAATTTTATTTTTAAAAGGCCATAGAACAAACTACGTGAATATAGCACATTTGCGGAAATAATATGAATTAAAAAACACGGAATAAATTTTTATAGGGACAATAAGTCTTCCATACTAGTAAACACCTTTTTTTATTAATTAATTTACTTTTATTCTATAAACAAAATTTTTTATGAGCCAATATATGCCAGACCGTCAGACCTTATCAAATATAAAGGTCATTAAATAAAAAATCAAGTTGGTTTCTTTGCCAATTTCTTATTAAATAAGTTTAACAAAGAAGCTTTTCTTTTTTAATTAGTAGTTCATAACCAATTTATTAAAATACATATCTTAAATTTGTGATACTTAAAAAATATTTTGTACTTATAGTACAGTATATATTCTAGATTGTGTTTAATGAGGCATCATTTTATAACAATTCCAGTTAACAAATATCAATAAGAAAGTAGTATAACCAAGATAAATAAACTGTTTGAACTGAAGTTCTTGTGATGGTAATAATAAATCAAATTTCATGTTTAATAAACTCTATAAAGAATAGATACGTTTTTAATACTTAGAGATATGTCTTTAATATCGAAAAACATGTTTTTAATATAGAGAAATAAGAAAAATGCACAATTTTATGAATAGTACGTTCTTCATATAAAATTATACTAAAAAACGAATATTTGAGATATGGAATTGTGCATTTTTCAGTATTAAAAACATATTTATTTTTTTATAGGGAAGCACTAAGTCTATACTTCACATTAAATTGTTCTTAAAATATTATTTGAACTCTGAGCTCATACTATTCAAGTTCCAAAATTTCGTCAATATTTGTCTTAAAAATGTATGCTTTTTTTTCCTTTGATGTTTAACTAATCATACTGGCAAACCAAATCTTAAATAAATAAACATGATTTGTGGTCCCTAAAAAGGATCATTTGCACTAAGTGTCATATCAATGGTCATGATCATTAACAAGCCATGGCCAGATTGGCCAGTCATGACCATGTCTGATATCAGCCAGTCAAAAGCTTCTGATCTGACCAGGACCCAGAAATATACATACAGGGTACACAGATGCGTCGCCATCATAGTGGAATTAGATGGAGTAAATTTTGATTTGCGTACAATTTAAGAATTTTTCATCCATAGTTAGGTCATAAAGATTGCATATTTTTTATCAAAATTATTATATGTAAAAAATTAGTTTGCGTATTTTTGGGCTAATCTTATATATATATAGTAATATATTTACAGTACGTTACCTGCATTGTAATACACATTTATTTTAATTGAAAGAAAATTTTAAGGGTTAAAAGTGAAATTTTAGAAAAATATTATTGAAAAAATGGTAAATAAGAATAAATTCTATTTTTTCACATTAGTATTTGATTTTATAAATAATATAGAAGTCATGATAAAATAATTTATAACTTAATGTCTGAAATTTTATTTGCGTATTTTTGCAGGATTTTCAATATCAGATGTCAATTATGCGTACTACTCATATAAAAAGTCTCAGCGTACATTGCGAAAACCGGTTTTCCCTAATATGCAGTAACTGTATTGTAACTGCATCATAGTCATACAGTATCTACATAGTGCGCATAGTGGAAATGTGAATATGCAGTTACTGCATATTAAGGAAATTAAGTTTCTGCAATGTACAGCTCATAATAAAAAATTTTTCGTCACCTGACCTTTAGGCCGGGCAAAGTTAATTTTTAGATTCTCGTGACATAAAATTTTAAAATTGACACGGTCACCCAGTTTTTTTTTTTTTCTTTTTCTCATATGTAAATTTTTTTATATGTATTTTGTATTATATTTTGTATTACACAAATATATCTTGTATTACACAAACAAGAATAAACTGTTAAATCTATCTTTCCAACACTTTTTTTTTTAAATAAAATCTGATAAACCAATAATAATTGTACGTGTTTTTCTTTGTTCTAAAACAGTATTTGAGTGGAAATGGCTTCCTGTTGAAGAGGATATGAATATAGAAGATTTTTTCAATGTAAATATTGTACTGCATATTTTAGTCCTACAAAAACGGGTGAAATGGAAAAAATAGGACTGAAATGTAATGCATGGGAAATTGAATGTTGCGAATGCAACAAATGGCGTGTATTATATAGTAAAAGTAAGTTGTCTTCCTTTAAAATAGCAACTTTGGAAAGGTATTTAGATACAATTCAATATACATGTGGTGATTCTTTTGAAGCTTTAGCAAACTTAAGCATAGAAATGGAAAATGTTGGTTATGAAAATAGTGAAAGTGATGATATAGGAATATTTTTGAAAATGTAAAAGTTGATAATAAAATTAATTGCTAATTCGGTTAAGATCGGCAGTGTCTTACTATGCAAAATCGGGGCAAAAAAAGAAAATAATTATCTCTTGATCCAATGATCCAATTTCAATGAACTTTTTTTTGTTTTATAGATCTTGATTTCCTCAATAAAATAAAAAATTTATTGAAATTGAAATACTAAATTATAAGAAAATCGTGAAAAAGTATTTCATATTATTATTATGACTAAATTTTAGTAAATCATAAAAAAAGAATTGATTCCTAATTCAGTGATCCAATTTCAATAATTTTTTTTTGTCTTTTAGGTCTTAACCTCTTCTTCATAATAAAAAAAAGTTTGTCAATATTGGACTGCTAGATCGGAAGATAATCACAAAGATATATTTTGCTATATTATGAATCTAAAAATCGTCTGGCAAAATATGTTTTCTCAATTATCTCACGATCTAGAGGCCCAATTTTGACAAAATTTTTTTATTATGTAGAGATTATTGAGATCTAAATAACAAAAAAAAGTTTATCGAAATTGGATCACTGAATCAGGAGATAATTGTCTGCTTTGTTATTAATGGAATCTGATCGTTGTCAGTAAAATATGTTTTTGTGATTATCTCACAACCTAATGGTCCAATTTCAATGAAATTATTTTTATTTTATAAAGGTAATCCAGACTTACAGAACAAAAAAAAGTTCATCAAAATTGGATTATTAGATCATATGATAATTATTTTTATTATTTGCACCAATTTTCCCAATTTTACATAGTAGGACACTGCTGATCTTAACCGTATTAGCAATTAAGCTTTTTACTGGGGTGATCATACCCGTTGGCCAGAATTATCAATTTTTACCGGCACTATATTTTTTAATGCTGGTGATCATCATAATTGTGTGATCATCACCCCGGTGATAGTTGGAAAAATTCATAAATTAATGTGTAGTAATCCAATGGAAGTTCCAAGTGGTGTATTTGAAGACATTTGCTTTCAGTGTGGAAAGTAACAGAAGATGAATTCAATGAATCTGAAAAAATTAGCATGAATGAAATATATTACCACTATTGTGATGAGTGTTATACAACAGTTTCAAATAAGAAGAATCAAATTTCAAGTAAAAAAAGGTCACAAAATAATATGTAACCCGCTTATTGAATTTTTATATAATAAAGTATATACCATTTTATTATGTTAAGTCACGTGATAAAAAATTTTACTATAAAAAAAAAAATTCCCGAATTTTTGTAAAACTGACACGGCCGGGTCACGAGAATCTAAAAATTAATTTTGCCCGGCCTTATATATATATTTCTGGGTCCTATCTGACCAACCATCTGATTGATCGTTTTTAAAGAATTTCTAGTAAAAAAATTTTAGGTATTTAATTGCTATTATAATTTATAATAAATAATGATTGTTATATTATTCTAAGGAAATAATACTAGTAAATTTTAAAGTATAGATTTAAATATTAAACTTAAATTTGCTAAAGAAACTGCAAATAAAATATAAATAAATATTATGTCACTATACTTGTATTAATAATAATAATATTTAATCTTTTCATTTATTGTAATAACTTCATACAATTTAATTATTTTCTATATAACTGATAAATATACGACAAATAAAAAATAAATAAGAGAATTATTAATCTTCAATTATTTCAATTATACATTCAAAACACTCAGAATTATCTTTGACTAAAATTTCAGTAAGTTTGCGACTTGTATAATATGCTTGTGGATGACGTTGGATAATACTAGTAGGAGTACTTGCTTTATTTGCTTCTACAAATTCAAACATAATATTTTTTAATTGATTATCAACATTAATTACTTCATATCTATAATTTCCATCCCTATTTATTATATAAAATTTATTGATACATTCAATCCATTCAGATATAATATTTTCAAGTGTTGTTATAGTTGGTCTATTAAAAGGATCTGGATCCCAACACTTTTTCATTAATTCTATATAACATTTTGGAGCACTTTCTATAATTTCAGGACGTTCTCCTTCACAAATACTCAAGCTTAGTTCAAGGTCATGTGCTTTATTTTTAAATGGCTGAATTCCGGATGTAAATTCCCACATTATCATCGAAAAACTATAAATATCACTTGCTAGAGTATAGGGTTTTTTTCTTAAAATTTCAGGTGCCATATAAGGCAAAACTCCATAAATTTCATTATCATTATTACCAGAATCTTGTGAATTGTTTATAGGTTTACATAACCCTAAATCAATGATAAATATTTCATTATAATTATCTGACATTAAAATATTACCATCATGAAAATCACCATGAGTTAAATTTGATTCATGGATCACTTTAAGTGCTAATATAATTTTTTTCAATAATTGTAGCTTTTCTTGCCACTTAAATTTGATTATATCAGATAAACAGTTTCTCAAACTTCCTTTTTTTGCATAACTCATTACTATTATATAATTTGAATTTCTTGGATCCTGAGTAATTCCAAAGAATTGAATAAATTTTGAAAATGATTTTTTCTGACAATTATAATGATATTTCCACTACATAAGCGATAAAAAATTATTTAATTATTGCAAAGGAAAATAAAATTTATAATAATTAAATATAAATACTATACCTCATTCAGAAATTTACTATCTAAACTTGATGAATTATTAAGTGTTTTAAGAATAACCTCATAACTTGTTTGTCTATTCCATTGTTGTTTGTCAAAATTCCAAGTAAAAATAGGACCATCTGACCAGGTAGCTTTATGAATTTCACCAAATCCTCCTTTGTCATAATAATTAATATTTAATAATTTATTATGAGGTATCCACTCTAAAATTTCATAACTATTTTTAGCATTTAGTTGTGCTTCTTGAATAAATTTATCAATAAATTCATTTTTACTAGTCCACTTTGAAAAATCTTGTTGAAATTGTCTAGTATTACATTGTTGGCACCATTGATAATCAGAATATGGTTGTTTGCACTTATTACATAATTCAGCCTTATTTTCAGATTTCACTTTACTACTTTCAGCTACTTTTTGATGCCAATAAAAAGCCTTTTCTAAATTCTTTTCTGTTCCTTCTCCATTTCTATAATATATGGATAAATTAATCATTGCTTCAGTATAACCATTTTCCGCTGCTTTACGATTCCAATAAAAGGCTTTTTCTAAATTCATTTCTATTCCTACTCCATTTTTATAACATGTAGCTAAATTAAACATTGCATGATTGTTATTATCTTTTTCTGCTGCTTTTTGATACCAATGAAAAGCTTTTTCAAAATTCTTTTCTATTCCTACTCCATTTTTATAACATTCAGCTAAAAATAACAATGCATTGATATGATCTTTTTCTGCTGCTTTTTGACACCAATGAAAAGCTTTTTCAAAATTCTTTTCTGTCCCTTTTCCAGTATAATAGCTATTGGCCAACAACAACATTGCTTCAATATGATCTTTTTCTGCTGCTTTTTGATACCAATAAAAAGCTTTTTCAAGATTCTTTTCCGTTCCTTCTCCATGTTTATAACATACAGCTAAATTAAACATTGCATAAATATTATTTTTTTCTGCTGCTTTTTGTAACCAATAAGAGGCTTTTACAAAATTCTTTTCTGTCCCTTCTCCATTTCTATAGCATACAGCTAAATTAAACATTGCATTAGTTTGATTAGTATGGTATTTTTCTGCTGCTTTTTGATACCAATAAAAGGCTTTTTCAAAATTCTTTTCTATTCCTTCTCCATTATAATAAATATTGGCCAAATAAAACATTGAATCAATATGATCTTTTTCTGCTGCTTTTTGATACCAATAAAAGGCTTTTTTAAAATTATTTTCTGTTTCTTTTCTAATTTCATAACATACAGCTAAATTAAACATTGCATCAGTATGGTTTTTTTCTGCTGCTTTTTGAAACCAATAAAAGGCTTTTTCAAAATTCTTCTCTATTCCTTCTCCAATTTTATAAATATTGGCCAAATAAAACATTGCATTAATATGATCTTTTTCCGCTGCTTTTTGATACCAATGAAAGGCTTTTTTAAAATTCTTTTCTATTCCTATTCCATTTTTATAACATACAGCTAAAATAAACATTGCGTCAGTATGGTTTTTTTCAGCTGCTTTGTGATACCAATGGAAGGCTTTCTCAAAATTCTTTTCAGTTCCTTCTCCATGTTTATAACATACAGCTAAATTAAACATTGCATCAATATGATCTTTTTCCGCTGCTTTTTTAATCCAATGAAAGGCTTTTTCAAAATTCTTTTCTGTTCCTTCTCCATTTTTATAACATACAACTAAATTAATCATTGATGCAATATGATCTTTTTCTGCTGCTTTTTGATGCCAATGAAAGGCTTTTTCAAAATTCTTTTCTGTTCCTTCTCCATTTTTATAACATATAGCTAAACTAGACATTGCTTTAATATGATCTTTTTCTGCTGCTTTTTGAAACCAATGAAAGGCTTTTTCAAAATTCTTTTCTGTTCCTATTTCTTTATAATAACTATGGGCCAAATAAAACATTGCATCAATATGAACCTTTTCTACTGCTTTTTGATACCAATGAAAGGCTTTTTCAAAATTCTTTTCTATTCCTTCTCCATTTTTATAACATTCAGCTAAAACAAACATTGCAATAGTATCGTTTTTTTCTGCTGATTTTTGAAACCAATGAAAGGCTTTTTCAAAATTCTTTTCTGTTCCTTCTCCATTTTTATAACCTACACCTAAATTAAACATTGCATTAATATTATCTTTTTCTGCTGCTTCTTGATACCAATGAAAGGTATTTTCAAAATTCTTTTCTGTTTCTTCTCCATTATAATAGCTATTGATCAAATTAAACATTGCACCAGTATTATCTTTTTCTGCTGCTTTTTGAAACCAATGAAAGGCTTTTTCAAAATTCTTTTCTGTTCCTACTTCATTATAATAACTATAGGCCAAATAAAACATTGTATCAATAAAATCCTTTACTGCTGCTTTTTGATACCAATGAAAGGCTTTTTCAAGATTCTTTTCTGTTCCTTCTCCATTTCTATAACATACAGCTAAATTAAACATTGCATTAGTATGGTTTTTTTCTGCTGCTTTTTGAAACCAATGAAAGGCTTTTTCAAAATTCTTTTCTATTCCTACTTCATTATAATAGCTGGCCAAATAAAACATTGCATCAATATGATCTTTTTCTGCTGCTTTTTGAAACCAATGAAAGGCTTTTTCAAAATTCTTTTCTGTTCCTACTCCATTTTTATAACATACAGCTAAATTAAATATTGCATCAATATTATCTTTTTCTGCTTCTTCTTGATACGAATGAAAGGAATTTTTAGAATTCTTTTCTGTTCCTTCTCCATTTTTATAAAATACAGCTAAATTAAACATTGCATCAGTATGGTTTTTTTCTGCTGCTTTTTGAAACCAATGAAAAGCTTTTTCAAAATTCTTTTCTGTTCCTACTCCATTATAATAGCTATTGGTCAAATGTAGCATTTCTTTTTCTACTGCTTTTTGAAACCAATGAAAGGGGTTTTCAATATTCTTTTCTGATTCTACTTCATTATAATAACTATAGGCCAAATAAAACATTGTATCAATATGATTCGTTTCTACTGCTTTTTGATACCAATAAAAGGCTTTTTCAAAATTCATTTCTGTTCCTTCTCCATTTTTATAACATACAGCTAAATTAAACATTGCATCGGTATGGTTTTTTTCTGCTGCTTTTTGAAACCAATGAAAGGCTTTTTCAAAATTTCTTTCCATTCCTACTTCATTATAATAACTATTGGCCAAATAAAACATTGCATCAATATGATCATTTTCTGCTGCTTTTTGAAACCAATGAAAGGCTTTTTCAAAATTCTTTTCTGTTCCTTCTCCATTTTTATAACATACAGCTAAATTAAACATTGCGTCAATATGGTCTTTTTCTGCTGCTTCTTGATACCAATGAAAGGTATTTTTAAAATTCTTTTCTGTTCCTTCTCCATTTTTATAACACACAGCTAAATTAAACATCGCATCAATATGAACTTTTTATGCTGCTTTATGATACCAATGAAAGGCTTTTTCAAAATTCTTTTCCGTTCCTTCTCCATTTCTATAGCATACAGCTGAATTAAACATTGCATCAATATGATCTTTTTCTGCTGCTTTTTCAAACCAATGAAGGGCTTTTATTAAATTCTTTTCTGTCCCTTTTCCATTCTTATAACAGTTGGCTAAATTAAACATTGCTTCTTGATCACCATTTTCTGTTGATTTTTCAAAGGAATTAATACATTTTTTACACCATAATTCTTCAAAAGGTTTATTACAATACAAACAATTTTTGGTGTTTATTGTATCAGTATCCCTATCTGGGATATTTGTTTTACTAAATTCAGTTCCCATCAGTTATTTTAGAAATTTGTAGAAAAAAATTTTTTTTTTGACAAGATTTGAACAAAAAAAAATTTTTTTTCTTAAGATATCGCTAAAAAGGTATATTTAAACCAAAAGTAGAAATTACTACAAAATAGGTTATGTAGCCGCTATGTTCAGCCCGTATAGATGATCTATCAGTTCCGTGATTTTATAATTTGAAATTTGGATCGACAGATACCGATGTTGATTATTTATTTTACTTATTAGTATTAGTGTAGTGTTACTTACTAAAAAAACAATCCTTGTAAAAAAAAAGTTGTTCCGATCTTTTTTTATTCCATCTTTCTTCCGTAAAAGGCATATTTCCAAATTTATCGAATTATTTACATTTTCCGTGAATGGATCCGTGAAAGGTTCATTCTTTTTATAGGGAATTATTAACTTTATAAGTAATAGATAGTCAATAAGATTTATTATTCGTTTAACGAGATTTTTTATCGATAAAAAAAATAATTTTGTAATAATAATAGATCGATATAATAAAATTTATTGGGGATTTTTTTTTTAATAACAATAGTTTTTTTGATTGATAATTTTATTTGAAAATTTTTTTTAACAAGGGAGATTTTTTTTGATAGAGTATTTCGTTAGAAAATTTTTTAACAGGAGAGATCTTTTTTTTTTTTGATAGAGCTTCATTAAAGAAATTTTTTAGTAGAAGGGAATTTTTATTGATAAAGAATTTCTTTTGAGAAATTTTTAATAGATGAAAACATTTTTTAGTAGAAAATTTTGTTAGTGAATTTTTTTAATAGGAAGCTTTTTTTTGATAGAGAATTTCATTAAATAATTTTTCTTTAAAAGGGAGTTTTTTTACCAGAGTTTTTGTTGGTTGAAAAGTTTTTATAGATGGGTTTAATAGAAAATTTTATTGAAAATAATTTTTTAATAAGGGTATTGAGAATTTCGGCTTAAAAATTTATTGGAAAATTTATTGGAATATTTTTTTATATTATAGTTATTATTACCCCACGGTTCCTAGTTGAAATTTGTGATTTTTTTCTTGATATTCTCACGGGTGGTGTTAATTTAAAAAGATGGGTAAAAAGTCTATAAACATTAATAAAAAGTCTATCATTAATTAGTATATTAAAGGGCTTTATGGTACGGATAACGTGAAAATCATTGATACTGTATCTGTGAAATAACTATTACTTATTTAACTAATTATTAACTACTGTATAATAAACTCAACAAAAATTATAATTAGTATTACATAATACCTGATTTTTCTAAATATAAATCAGAATTTTCTTTTAGTATACAAATTTAATTATGATATTGATTTGAACTAAGTTCATTGGTCCTGGTACGTGGCAATATAATGGTGTAGTTAGCCGAAAAATTTAGCCGAAGACGCAGTAAATTTTCGGATAAACAACACCCAGCCGAAAAAAATCCATGTCGATCTTGAATAATTTCTTCATTCAACTACTACTATTTACGGCTAGATATTTTAATATAATGAAAATCCTGATTGTGCATATTACAATGTTTACCATTATTATGGTAAACATTATGTAATCTATACTAGCGTAATACAATAATTATATACTTTTCTTTGATAAATTAACAATTATTGAATGGTATTGATTGGTGTAAAATTGTTTAAGAATTTTAATATTTGCTTGTAAATAATTTTTAATTCTTTTTAAAAATTAAATGACAGTTTTTATTTTTGATTGATTTGAATTAGCTGTTTCTAAAATTATTAAAAGATTTGAATTACCTGTTAATGCATTGACGAGAATGCTATTAAATTATTGGATTGAGAAACAAAAGTAAGGCATTTGTAGTATAATTAAATTGAATAATAGTATAATTAAAATAAATTTTGTTTGAACATTTAATAAAGTATAAATGATTATAAAATTTTTATATATTTTATTATTAGTATGTAAATTTAATAAATTTTAAAAGAAATGTTAATTTTAAGTTAATAAATAAATTAATTATATATAAAATCATCACATTTTGATGTTGCCTCCTTGTCTTTTTAGTCTCCTGGAAAATTATATATTGGCGTTTCTTGCGCTCCCGGTTGGATATTTCGGTTAACTACACGAATATTCAAACATCTACTATTTTCGGCTTAATATTTTCGTCTAAAATACACTTTTTTTAATCAACGTGTATTACAGTCGCACAGCAGCGATGGGCGTTCAAAAATCAGCTGATGATCACAAAAGAGTTTCATCAAGAAATTTCTTTTTATAAACTCTGATAGAAAATATAGTACTTCGTAGTACGGATTTCACGAAAAAAAAAATAAATAAATTACTATTTTGGTATTATTTGTGACAGATACAGCACGTAGATTTAGATTTGAATATATTGTACAAAAATTTTTAATATAAATTTTTTAATGCATGTTACTATTGATAATGATAATTTTTATGATTAGTTTTATATATATATTTCAAGATTCAATAATAAAAAAAAAAAAATTATTTAGTTATTATTAGGTAAAAAAATGAATTCAGTTCAGTTATAATATAGTCATTTATGTTTATGAAAGAAAAATTCGATTACTAATAATTATTATTATTATAAAAAAATAAATAAAATAAAATAACTGAAATTAAAATTTCCTGTTTATCTTAATATCATTATTTTTAATATTATGAACTTTTAAATCATTAATCAAAAATTTGAAAGAGTTTAAATGTTTGAATACTGGTATTTATTTTGGAAGCACTAAAGAAATAAATTAACAAAAAAGATGGTTTTCAAAATTTTTTAACTAAATAATTTTTATAAATTTTACGCTCAAAAATATTTCGATTAAGTTCATAATATAAATTAAGATAATAATTACGTGAATATTCTTCAAATGAATTGGTTCTGCTAAAATATTTTTAATCTAAAAGTCTATTTAAGTAAACTGCTTGAGGATTTGTAATATTTGAAAGAGTTATACCATTATATAAAAATAACTAAAGTGTACATTTATTTTTATTGATGCATTTTTAATAATATTTATATTAATCATTGGCACATAAATCCCGATTTGTATTGTACGAACCGAGAGATCATACTAGTTAAATTAAAAGTTTCTTTTACTAATATATAATTGTAAATTATTATTTATCAAGGATTAAAAACACATAACAATCAATCAGATTTTTATCGATTGTTTCTTTAATATTTAATTAAAATATTTGTAATTATGTTTAAACTTTCAAATATTCCAAAATTCTTAAAAATAATTAAAAGGTCGATAAATATTTATTCTACAAATAATTGACTTTATTTATAAAGATCACATGACAAATAAAAACGTTACATAGTATATTACTAATAAAAAGTTTAGAAGATATCTTAAGTCTAAACTATTGCAGTTTCCCTTGGGAGATTGGATAAATAAGATAAGCATTTGCGACCTTTAAATATTATATAACACGTTGAAGTTTAGCTTCAAAAAGAAATAAAACAGTAATTTGAACGTTTATTGTATCTTGTGTGTATTGTATTGAGGTTGTAGTGTTAAATATAATAAGTATCATATTATTACTTCACGATAATTAAAAATTTTTGATAATAAAGAGCGTCGCTATTTCATTGTCTAGTACAAAATATTCACTACATAAAAGCAAATAATTTTAGTGAAATACGAACCAATTTTAGTTCGCTAAATTTCTTTGAATAAAGGTATCATTTCAAGAAATTGGTATTAGTCATTTCAAAAAGAAAAAAATAGGAATTCATTATTATTTCAATTCTAAAGTGTCATTGCCGAGAGAATTATAGTAACATCAAGTACGGAATCCAGTACGAGTCCAGTACAAAATCAATGCAAGTTACTTTCTAATTTAAAGAAAATTTAAATAAAGACAAGAAAATTTTATAAGATATTTGGAAAGAAAAGAAAACAAAAATCAAGAAAAAAAGGTGTGAAAAAACAACTTTTCTGCGAAATAGACTACTTAGACTATGACTAATTACTTTAACTAACTGAAATCTTTAAACTAAAGATTTAATATACGCAGTAAGAAATAGGGTAATTGATAATTAATGAGGTAATTTAATATTATAATGCGCAAGAGCCGATGATTCAGACAAAAGTATCCGGCCATGCCCTTTTTGTGATAGTCGCTTATCATCACATGAAAATCCTTCAAATAACAAATAACCAATTTTTTTTTTCATGCTCAAAAGAGAATAATTGTCTTTCATAATAAAATCTCGGCTTTAACAAAATTTATTTAAAATATTTTTGCCCGTTTATTGTGCAAATCATTTAGTTTTTTGTTAATAAAAAAAACGATGGTTTTGTTGAAGAAAAAAAATAGTAATAAAACTTTTGTTGGTTTTGTGTCAATAAAATGTTTTTGCTTGCAGAGATAACTGCTAAATTATAAATATTCCCCTCTTATAAATTCACATTTTTCAAAAAACAAAAAATTATATATTTATTTTCCTCTTTCTAATAATAATAAAAAAAGAATAATCAATTCTTCACAAAATGGAAAACCAAATGCAAAATTCCATCAGATATTCAGTCGTTTCGACCACTATTGAAATTTCTAAACATATTGAAATTGGTAAATTAATTGGTCGTAAAGGACGTAACCTAAAACCAATTGCTGAAAAGACTGGTACACATATACACGTGATTGACAATACAAATCCAGCACAGATTGAAATTAAAATAATTAAAGGTAGGGTTGGAAATAGTTCTCCTGGGAAGAGGATCGACGAAACAAAATTTCAAGTAGACAAGTTACTAAAAGATATCGAAACAAGAAATCAAAGAAAAAATATAGAAAAAGTGGAAAAAAATGTTAGAATTTCAGATAATAGTAACCATCAAAAAGCAACACCAAGAAATCATAAAGATAACGATATGAAGGAAAAAAGAAAAAAGTTTAAACGAAAAATGCCGCATACGACCAAAACACGACAAGCAAGATATTTTTAAAAATTTATGAATTTGTTAACATTTTATTTGATGATTTTTTTATTAATATAAAATATTCTTCATCTCCTCCGATAAATATTTAGTCACGAAATAAGGAAAATGTTAAAAGAAACGTTCCTGTAAACCACATGAATCACAATCAATCCAATTAAATCTTTTTTTTTTGTCTTTTAATTTTTTATTGTCAATTATCAATTATGTAGTTTTTTCATTTTATTATCTCTCAATTAAACATTTATTTTTTATCATTTATTTTTAGTCTTTATTATTTATTCATTTTTTTTTAGTTATAGAAAATATCCTTATATAACCTTTTTTTTAAAAAAAAAAAAAATAATAAATAAAAGAATTCCTAACCAAAATAGGTTAGTATTCAAAAATCAAAAATCAAATAGTCACTCCCTTCTAGTATTCATTGAGAAAAATGTTTCATCATAACGAAATTCAATTTCGTCATTAGGTAGTTAAAGCTCCTTAAAAAACTATATAATATCATATTAATTTTTTCGTTTCGTGAGTCTCAAATATTTTTTTACGTTAAAAAAAATTGTTTCATTATCTAGTAATATATCGAACTTAATACCTATATTTTAAGAGATAAAACATACGTATATCAAATGTTGGTCTGCTGGCCACATAATTGGCGAGAGAAAACTTAGTTGGGATCATGTAATTATTTGATATTAAAATATATTAAGTGGAAGCAAAATCTTTTTGAAAACTTAACACTCAAATCACTAGGATGTATGTGTTATACAGTAATTGGGTATAGCGGAGATGGTAGTAATGGCTTTGCATTATCTGATTAATTTCATCAAGTTTTTTTTTTGTGTTGACGTTCAAATCACTGCAAAATTTTTTCCTGTGAATGGCTGTGATCCCTTGCATAATCTGGCGAGGGGTATACTAATACAGTGTAACTAAATGCGAAAATTACTAAGTATGACATATATTCTTTATGATTATTCCTGCGCTGAGCTTTCTTTTTTTATATTCTAATTATTGTGGTTCCGATTCATTACCAGGTTTCTGTTCTGAAACGTTATTTTACAAGTAAGTAAAATTATTAAGTACATGAAGTTACTAGATTATTCTTTAAGCGTCTGGTACTAACATTTAGATTCCGGAAAAATTAATTTCTGAAGGCGTAGTAGCGTAGTAGCAATGATCTTCTGAAAGAATTAGCTTCTAGATGATCCTTTAACTGTTAAGTGTTACGGTAATTACTTTTTTTATTTTAAATATTTAACCCTTTAGAAATACGTCAAATAATATTCAACATTGTATTTTGTATTTTATCATAGCAATAATATTATTAAATTTCGAAATATAATTCCTTGCTATTTTAGAGATAAATTAAGACCCCGAGCTATACATAGAACTTATTAATGAGCCAAATCATGTAGATCGTTTCCATTCGTGGATAATGCCTACCAGCATTACATAGTGCCAACCCTGAAGAAATGCGAAGAGCTAATAGTAAATGTGTTGCCGATCTTCCCTGACCATAACTCGGGGTCCTGATAAATTATCACTTTTTTTTTAAAAAAAAAAAAATATTCGTAAATTGTCAATGTTGCACAAAACAGAATTCGAAGATCGTTTTATGGAATTTCAAGTAATTCATTAACGTCCCCGCGTCATTCTTTCAGAAAATGATATCCGATTTATTTGAATATCTTTAATAGTACAATAACATTAATACGTAATTGAAAATTAAACAAATACAAAATTAAATAATAACATATTTGCTTTTATTAAAGATATGAGTGTATCCTCTTCGTTACTTTATCACTTTTTTTACAAAATGGAAAAACAAATTCAAAAATTATCAATTTCGATCCCTCAAAATATTGGGATAGGTAAATTAATTGGTCGGGACCTAAAACCTATTTCCGAAAAAACTGGTACCCATATTTTAATATATTGATACAAAAACAAATCCTGCACAAATTAAAATTTATGTTAACAAGAAAAAAGAAAATCCCCATTCGAAATAGAAATAATGTTGCAAGAAATCAATTAAATAATTTAATTTGATGAAAAATATTTGTCAATATAAAATTCATTCTCCCAAACATAATGAACAGGTCAAGTATAGATTTTCACAAGTTAAAGAAAAGATAAAGCGAAACCTTTACTGACAACAGCAAATATATTAACGAAGATTTGCTAGTAGAAAAATTTTCATAACCCATTTTTAAAGAGAGACGTAATAAAGATATGATTAAAAAATTACCAATTTCCGATGATCGAATGTGTTGGTATGGAGCTAATTGCAAAAAAAAATTTTGTAGAATTAAACATCCACAATAGTATATTATAGATCATCACTAAATATTAAAATATAAGAAATTGAAATAAAAAAAATATAAAAAAGATTTTAAAAAGGAATCTAGAATTTTTTTACATAAATATAAGAAATAGAGAATTATTAAAAAATTTTTTAAAGGTATGATATTATAATATTATTTACTTTTGGGATTACTTTATATAATATTTCAATTTTTAAATCTTTTTAGTTAAGGAAAATGTAAGTTTACAATATAATAAGTTATATCTATTAAGCATTTAATTATAATTATTAATAATATTTTTTTTTTATTTTCTATTCTTAATGGAATAAATAAATTTAATATCAGATATGATAAATATAAATAAGTATAAATTACGCCAAATACATGCTTCTTGGTACTACTATGCAAATAGGTTACCGCTAGTTTGATATATTAGTTATGGAATGACTCAAAATCCAGGTACGATAAATAATATTTTGGTTTATCATGAAGAATATTTTGAAAAATATTACTGCAAATATTGTAGTAAGGAATACACTTATTATAAACAATATAAATGGTGTGTATCATGTCGAATTGATTATTTTTATTTTTACAAATTGGACTAGTGAGGATGATGATTATATTCGAGAAAAGCAATTAAATGCATCAGACAATATAATAGTTGAATGGATACCATATGATCAATTTAATGACATTGAAGAAATAGAGAGTATTGGTGCTAGAGCGGTATGGAAAAATGGTCCATTAAAATATAATGTAGATTTAAATAAATATGAAAGGAATTCAAATGAAAAAGGTACTTTACAAAGTATTTCATCATCTGATGATAAAATTTTAAATAAGGCATGGAATATGATAGGTTGATTCAAGGATATTAATTATGGAATTTCTCAAAATCCAGTTACAAAAAATTATTTTCTTGTTTTCTATGAGAAATATTTCGAAAATTATTGTAATATTTGTGGTGAAGAATATTCAAACAAACAATATGAATGGTGTAATCCATGTCAAATTAATTATTTAAAAGCTAATTTTGAAAATTGGACTAGTGGAAGTAAACAAATCGATGATTATATCCAAGAAAAGCAATTACAAATTTATAACTTGTGGGAGATGATATTTGAATGGATACCATACAATCAATTTAATAACATTAAAGAAATGGGATATGATAGTGCAACAGTAACATGGAAAGATGGCCCATTATATTATAATTTTATTGAAAGAAAATGGATGAGAAAATCAGGTAAAAAGGTTACTATAAAATATTTAAATGTTGAAAAAAATTTCATGTATGAATATTTAAACAAGGTATGAAGCTTTATTATAACTATATATATGAGATTTAAAATATCATTTAATATAAATATACTATATATATACACTTGTAATACTAGGTAAAACCAGAAGGAATTAGTTATGGAATATCTCAAAATCTGGATACAAAAGATTATATTTTGGTCATTAATGAAATATGTTGTGAAAAATGTGGCGAAAAATATACAAATGACTTATATAATTTATGTAAACAATGTTTAGTAAATAATAGAAATATAAAACTTTTTGACTTTATTAATTATTCTAAATTGAAATGGATAATATACAATCAGTTCAGTGATGTTAAAGAAATTGGCAAAGGTGGTTTTGCCACAGTATATTCAGCAACATGGGATCAAAAAAAAGTTGCTCTGAAATGTTTACATAACTCTCGGAATTTTGTTGATGAGTTTCTGAATGAGGTATGAAATTTACTAATAATTTAAATACTTATTAATAATAATTTTTACAAACAAATATTCTCTATATAGATTAATGCATATTCAGCATATTCAAACCAAGATTTTAGTAGTATTCTTAAATTGTATGGAATATCTCAGAACCCAGATACAGAAGAGTATATTATAGTTCTTGAATATGCAGAAGGTGGAAATTTTAATGATTATTTATATAGAAATTACAAAATATTTAATTGGTTAAATAAAATACAAATATTAATTGACATTATTAAAGGGCTTAAAGAAATTCATCAAAAGCAGATGGTCCATCGTGATTTCCATATAGGAAATATATTATTTAAGCATACTAAATATAACAATACATGTATTTCTGACATGGGATTATGTGGAGAAATTGGTAATATCGATGAAACGAAAATTTATGGAGTTATGCCTTACGTAGCTCCCGAAATATTAAGAGGAAATCCTTATACTCAAGCAGCAGATATATACAGTTTTGGAATGATCATGTATTTTATAGCAACTGGAAGGCAACCCTTTTCTGACTGTGCTCATGATGAACTATTAGCATTAAATATATGCAATGGAATTAGACCTGAAATAAATGAACCAAAAGCACCAAAATGTTATATTGATTTAATGAAGAAGTGTTGGGATCCAAATCCAAGTAATAGGCCAAATGCTTTTAAAATAGAAGAATTAATTTGGTCATTTCGTTATTCATACATGTTAGATGCATCAGAAGTTAAACTTAATATGAAATTTGAAAAAAAACGACGGCATTATAAGATTGAAAAGCAATTTAAAGAATCAGATGAATATAGAAAGGCAAATCCTTTATCTATTAAACATATTCAATCTGCTACACATCCTCAGGCTATTTATACATCTCGGTTACTTAATTCCTTTACAAAAGATCTTCCACAATGTGACAAAAATATGGACAGTAGTTTGCTTAAATATGATGATAATATGAATAATAATTCAATAAAAATTATTGATTTTTTTTTTATTTATTTTATTTAGCAAATTATATTTTATTTACTATTTTATATTTAAATTATATTCTTCTTGATATATAGTTTGTTCAACACCGATTATAGAGTAGTATGTAATCTTTTTTACATAATAAATTGGTATGTAATTGAGCAAATTTTTCAAATGTGTCAATGATTCATATATATATAAAAAACTGTTATAACCCAAACTCTATTATATCACAAATTAACCTTCAGTTAAGAAATTAAATAAAAAAATTGTAGTTTTCAATTTAGGTGTACCAAAATTTAACTTAAGTTCCATAATCCAGGAATGTAATCAAGACAGATATTATAACTAATACATACTTTTTTAATTGCATATCTCGTATCTTGGAAACTGAAAAAAAAGGAGACCACAAAGAAATGAAAGATGAAGTTTTAAAGGAAAACGGAGAGGAGAATTCAAAGAAGGGTAATAATAATAAGTATAAAAAAAAAGAAGACTAAATAGTCTAAATACCAAAAAATGATACACTATATAGAAATCATAGAAGGTTTAAAGAGTTTATTAGCGAAAATGATCACTAAATTAATAGTTAATTAGGGTAATAGAAACACCATAAAGATAGCCGAGGTCCAAAGGTAATTGAGAAAATGTATTATCAAACTTCCTCGAGTGAAACCTTCCCAAATCATCATGGGAAGCTTACTTTTATGCTTCTAATATTTCTTGCTAACTGCTAATAACATATTCCTTGAGGGCAACTGACCTTACCTTACGATAACGGCGTATAACCATTAGTGGGTTGGCTGGGTAACCATACCATGTGAAATATAAATTCGTTCATTACAATTTAAATCACGTGCAATAAACAATGAAGTTTCGATAGTAGAATTTTTTACAATAATTCTTTGTCTATTATTTGAATTTTTGAATTTGGGATAATTAGCTAGTTTAAGATGATTGTACAAAAATTCTTATATTAAATACAACTAATCCGATTAAAACACCAAACTGATCCCGTCCTAAAGATTGTTCCCGCTCTACTATCACAATCAATTCTCTCTGAAGTGGCTTCAAGTTAAAAAAAAAAAATTAATTATTAATTATTAATATTCATAAATTTACTAATATCATATTTGGTTTTCGATAACCGAATTTTTATTTGTTCATAAATTATAATGTTTATCATTAAGTTCAGAATGATTTAAATTCAAAATTCAGGCTAAATAAAAAATTTAACGAAAAATTTCTAATAAATAATCAGTATTACTAAATTAGTGCTCATACTGTAAATATTTTTTCATATTATTTTATTAGAATCATAAATTTGTTTATGTTAGATGTTATTAATATTAATTATATATTATTTAATATTGTTGCGTCAAAGTTTTAAAATTCCTGCGGGTTTTATTTGTCAAGACATTTCTTTTATTGTGTTTATGATTTTAGCCTTAAAATCTATGCACATGGTAACACGAATTCTCATTACTTGGGAAAAATTTAACGATGATGAAATGAAAACAGAAAAAAAAGCTCGTGCACATGATCCATGATTATTTTTATATTTTATTTATGGAAACATATATAAATATTGTCTTTTCTTTACTCCCTATTTATTTATTCCAGTATTTTTATCACATATATTATTAATAAATAATAAATACCAATATTTTGTGTCCCTTTGAAAATTGAGCCTTATAGGCGTATTTTAGAATTTAAAAATAACCGCGATGTTTTTATTTTTACTTCCAAGTTAAATGTTACACAATATCAACCAATAAAAATTTAGGCGCCACACTATAGATCACGTGCCCGAGCTTTTTTTGTTTTTGTTTTTTTTTTGATTTCGCTTTCGTAACCTGTTTTTTTTTGAATAAAACCTACAGTAATTCAGCTTTCATAATCATAATTTCTATAGGAACAAATACCTTCTCTACAAGTTTGATTGGGTTAAAAGAAAGGGTTGTATACCATTTTTTGCTTTTTTATATTTAATTTTGTTAAAGTTAACCATAGCAAAAATTGGCATTCAAAATCCATGTTTTTCTCCTTAAGTAAACTCGCAGAAAAAATAAAAACAAAAAATTTTCTCGTTAACCTATTTTTGGAAGGTTCAATAAATTAATCAACCCATTTTTAAACATGATCAGCAAAATCGATCATGTGCCAATGATTTTGTTTTTTTTTGTTGATGATCTGCTGGTAATACTGTGATGCGAAAAATTACAAATATGGTCGCACAAACGCAATTGTCGTTGTACCCTTTTTTTTCCCATATTAGTATTGTAAGAATTTTGATATAAATCTAATTTAATACAATATAAACGTAAAAATAGTACACTTTTTTTTGTCACACCCACAATTTTATTTTATTTTTTTATTTTATTGAAATTTTCCAATGGAGGAAATAGATAGTGAAAAAATATTTGATTATTTAATAGATAATTTCAAAAATTGGACCAGCGGAAATAAACAAATTGATTATTTCATTGGGGAAAAGCAATTACTTACTATGCCTGATGACATAGTTTTTGAATGGATACCATATGGTCAATTTAATGATATTAAAGAAATAGGAAATGGAGTTGCTACAGCAGTATGGGAGGATGGTCCATTATATTGTGGGATTTGGATAAGGAAGTCAAATAAAGAAGTTTTTTTAAAATGTTTATGTAATGTTTCATTGTCTGATCAATTTTTTGATTATTTAGACAAGGTATGAAATTTACTATTTGTTTGAATTTTAAAAAATTCTTTTTAATATATATGTTTTGTGATATAATAGGTTATACCAAAAGGTATTATTTATGGAATATCTCAAAATCCGGATACAAAAGATTACGTCATTGTTTTTCGTGAAGAATATTTTGAAATATATTGTAAAAAATGTGGTAAAAAATTTATCAATGAGCAAAATAAATGGTGTAAATCATGTCAAATTGAATATCTAAAAAGTAATTTTACAGACTGGACCAGTGGAGATAAACAAATTGATGCTTTTATTCAAGAAAAACAATCACAAATTGATAGTCCATGGAAAATAGTATTTGAATGGATACCTTATAACCAATTTTATGGCATTGAAGAAATAGGAAATGGTAATACTACAGCAATATGGAAGGGTGGTCCATTAAAGTTTAATGAAGATTCAAAAAAATATGAAAGAAATTTAATAAATAAAAAAGTTGCCTTAAAATATTTATACAATTTGCAATATATTCTATCAATTGATAAATTTTCAAAGGTATGAAATTTATTTATATTTATTCGTTTGAGTTTAAATCATTCTTCTTGAATGTATATATAATACATTATTTTATTATAGGTTATATCAAAAAATTTTTGTTATGGAATGTCTCAAAATCCAGATACAAAATATTATATTTTGGTTTTTCATGAAAAATACTTTGAAAAGATTTCAAAAAAATATCGTGAAAATCATGGTAAAAAATATACAAATGAACAATATAAATGGCATAGTCAACGTCGTTCAGGTAGTAATTTCATGAACAGGACCTGTGAAAGTAAACGAATTGATGCTTTCAATCAAGAAGAGCAGTTTAAAAGTGCTAAAGATATAGAAAACATTAGTACTACGGAAATATGTAAGAATGGTCCATTGAAGTGTAATGCAAGTTCAAATAAATATGAAAGAAATTTGAATGAAAAAATTGCTTCAAAATTTTATCATAACTTTCAAAATACTTTTGATGAAGTTTTAACCAAGGTATCGAGTTTTAATTTATTTTTTGGTTAAAGTATTTTTGTTTTTAATGTACTTATATATTTATATATTGTATTTGTGTTTAAATAGGCAAAATTATATGCTTTATATACAAGTGATCCTAATGAATTTTTAAATAAGGTATGAAATTTTGTTTAAAACTTTATTAGTTTAAAATATATTTTTTAAGAATATACCATATATTATATGAATGTCCTAATAATATAATTATATTTGATACATATATGTACAGTATATCTAATATTCTTTTTTATAATATATTTGGATATTATAGGTTAAATCAGAAATAAAAGATTATAGTTTTATTTTTCATAAAATATATCTTGAAAGGTATTGTGAAAAATGTGATGAAAAATACACGACAAATAAATGGTGTAAACCGTGTCAAATAAATTATTTGAAAAGAAATTTTACAAATTGGACCAGTGAAAATAAGCAAATTGATGATTTTATTCAAAAAGAGCAATTGCAAATTGAAAAACCATGGAATATAATATTTGAATGGATACCATACAGTCAGTTTATTAGTATTGAAAAAATAGAAAATATTGGTGCCATATCAATATGGAAGGATGGTCCATTAATTTATAATGCAAAATCAAATAAATATGAAAGAAATTTTAATAAAAAAGTTGCTTTAAAATATTTATATGACTCACAAAATATTCCACAATTTCTAAATAAGGTATAAATTCAGTTTTTTGTAAATTTGAAGTTTAAGCATTATTTTCTAATGTATAGTATGTATTTTAATCATATTATTATTATAGGTTAGCATTAGTTATGGAATATCTCAAAATCCAGATACAATGAATTACATCATTGTTTTTCATGAAAAATATTTTGAAGAAAATTCTAAGTATTGTGAAAAATGTGGTAAAAAATATATAAGATATAAATGGTGTAAAACATGCCAAATTAATTATTTAAAGAGTGATTTTACAAATTGGACCAGTGAAAATAATCTAATTGATGATTTTATTCAAAAAAAGCAATTACAAATTGAAGGCCCACGGGATATAATATTTGAATGGATACCATATGATCAGTTTAATGAGATTAATGAAATGGGGAATATTGGTGCTATAGCAATATGGAAGGATGGTCCATTAATTTATAATGTTAATTTAAATAAATATATAAGAAATTTTAATAAAAAAGTTTCTTTAAAGTATTTATATAACTCACAAAATATTTCACTATCTAATGAACTCCTAAATAAGGTATGAAATTCAGTTTTTTTTCTGTAAATTAGAAGTTTAAACATTCTTTTTTAATATTGGTATATATTGTAATCATATTTAGGTTGAATCAAAAGACATTAGTTATGGAATATCTCAAAATCCGGATACAAAGAATTATATCTTTGTTTTTCATGAAAAATATTTTGAAAAATATTGTAAAAACTGTAATAAAAGATATGCAAATAAACAATGTAAATGGTGTAAATCATGTCAAATTGATTTTTTGAAAAATAATTTTACAAATTGGACCAGTGGAAATAGACAAATTGATGATTTTATTCAAAAGGAGCAATTGCAAATTGAAAGCTCATGGGATATAATATTTGAATGGATACCATACAATCAGTTTACTGGCATTGAAAAAATAGAAAATATTGATACTATAGCAATGTGGAAGGATGGCCCATTATACTATAATTCACATTCAAATAAATATGAAAGAATTTTGGTAAATAAAAATGTTACTTTAAAATATTTACATAAGATACCAGATATTCTTAATAAAGATTTAGACAAGGTATGAAATTTATTTATAATCTCGAATTTAAAGTATTTTTATTAATATAATATATGTTATATGATTATAGATTAAATCAAAAGACATCATTTGTTATGGAATGTCACAAAATCCAGATACAAAAGATTATATTTTGGTTTCTCATAAAGAATATTTTGAAAAATATTGTTTAAAATGTGATGAAAAGTATACAGATAAAATATATAAGTGGTGTGAATCATGTCAGTTTGATTTTTTGAAAAGTAATTTTACAAACTGGAATGACAGATTTAAGCAAATTAAATTTATTATTCAAGAAAAGCAATTTGAATGGATACCATATAATCAATTTAGTAATATTGAAAAAGTAGGTAATACTGGTGCTACAGCAATATGTTTATTAAAATATAATATGGCATATAATAAATCAAAAACATGTAATTCACTCGTGAAATGGAAAAGATCAAATGGAAGAGTTGCATTAAGATATTTGTATAATTTACAATATATTTCTGATGAATTTTTAAGTAAGGTATGAAGTTACTTTATAAATTTAAACTATATTGAATACAAATAAATATATTTTATAATAATATAGGTTAAATCAGAAGACATGTGTTATGGAATAACTAAAAATCCAGCTGTAATGAATTATATTTTAATTTTTCATGAAGAATATTTTGAAAAATATTGTTGCAAATGCTGTAACATAGAATACACCTATTATAAACAATATATATGGTGTAAATCATGTCAAATTAATTATCTAAAGAATAATTTTACAAATTGGACCAGTGGAAATAAGCAAATTGATGATTTTATTCAAAAGGAGCAATTACAAATTGAAAAACCATGGAATATATTTGAATGGATACCATATGATCAGCTCAATGATATTAAAGAAATAGGATATGGTAGATCCACAGCAATATGGGAGAATGGCCCATCATATTATAATTTTAGTGAAAGAAAATTGATAAGAAAATCGAATAAAAATGTTGTTATAAAATATCTTTGTAACTCACAAAATATTTTATCATTTGATGATTATTTTAATAAGGTATGACGAAAGTTTTTTATGAATCTGAATTTTAAAGATCCTTTTTTGATGTGTATTTAATTAATATTGCAGGTTAAATCAAAAGATATTTGTTACGGAATTTCTCAAAATCTAAATACAAAAGATTTTGTTCTTGTTTTTCATGAATATATTGAAAAGTATTGTGAAGCATGTTATAAAGAATATACCAATAAAAAATATAAATGGTGTAATCTATGTCAAATTGCTTATATAGAAAATAATTTTACAATTTGGACCAGTGGAGATAGTCAAATTGATCGTTTAATTCAAGAAAAGCGATTACAAATTAGTAGCCCACAGGATATAATATTTGAATGGATACCATATAATCAGTTTAGTAATATTAAAGAAATAGGAAATATTGATACTATAGCAATATGGAAGGATGGCCCATTATACTATAATTCACATTCAAATAAATATGAAAGAAATTTGGTAAATAAAAATGTTACTTTAAAATATTTAGAAGGCAAGCTAAATAACATTGATGAATTATTAAACAAGGTATACATAGTTTTTTTTGCATTTGTGGTTTAAAGTATCTTAATATTTTATAATTATATAATTTTTATGACAAAATAGGTCGAATCAGAAGATAATAGTTACGGAATATCTCAAAATCCAGATACAAAAGATTATATACTGGTTGTTAATGAAATGTACTGCGAAAAATGTGGTGAAAAATATGCAAATGACTTGTACAAATTGTGTAAACCATGTCTATCAAATGATAAAAATGCAAAAATTTTTAATTTTATTGATAATTCTAAATTGAAATGGATTTTATACAGTCAGTTCAAGAATGTTGAAAAAATTGGCAAAGGTGGATTTGCCACAGTATATTCAGCAATGTGGAATAATAAGAAAGTTGCTTTAAAGTGTTTACATATTAATTCACATAATCTTATTGATGAGTTTCTAAATGAGGTATGAAATTTATAATTTAAATATTTTTTGAAAATAAATTTTACAAATAAATTTCTTTTATAGGTTAGTGCATATTCAGCATATTCAAACCAAGATTTTAGTAGCAATATTCTTAAATTATATGGAATATCTCAGAAAGATACAGAAAATTATGTTATAGTTCTTGAATATGCAGAAGGTGGAAATTTTAATGATTATTTATACAGAAATTACAAAAAATTTAATTGGTTAAATAGACTTCAAATATTAATTGATATTATTAGAGGTCTTAAAGAAATTCATCAAAAGCGGATGGTTCATCGTGATTTTCATATAGGAAATATATTATTCAAATATATTAAATATAATGATACATATATATCTGATATGGGACTATGTGGAGAGGTTGGTAATATTGATGAAACAAAAATTTATGGAGTTATGCCTTATGTAGCTCCTGAGGTGTTAAAAGGTAAAAATTATACTCAAGCAGCAGATATATATAGCTTTGCAATGATTATGTATTTTATAGCAACTGGAAGACAACCTTTTGCTGATCATGCTCATGATAATCTTTTAGCATTAAATATATGTAATGGAATTAGACCTGAAATAGATAAGTCAAAAGCACCAAAATGCTACATTGACTTAATGAAAAGTTGTTGGAATTCAAATCCAAAGAATAGACCAGATGCTACTAAAATAGAAGAATTAATTTGCTTATTTCGTTACTCATATATGCTAGATGCATCAGAATTTAAACTTAACATGAAAGTTAAAAAAGAACAACAACACTATGAAATTGAAAAGCAATTTAAAGAAGCAGATGAATATAGAAAAGCAAACCCCTTATTAATTAAAACTACACATCCACAAGCTATTTATACATCTCGATTGCTTAATCCTTTTACAGGAGATCTTCCAGAAGATGATAAAGGTGTAGGTGATGATAGTTTGGTAAAATGTGATGATAATATGTATAATAATTCAGTAGAAATTACTGATTTTAGTTAAATTTTGGTCTATTTTTTTTTTCATTTATCAAATTATTTAAATTTTAAATTATCTTACATTAGTTTATTGCTTAAATGGTATTTATTTCCTATATTATATTTGAAATTATAACATTTGTATACTTCATGATAAATAGTTTGTTCAACACCGATTATAGAGTAATATGTAATTTTTTTACATAATAAATTGGTTTGTAATTGAACAAAATTTCAAAATATATATAATACAACTGAAGATATCATACTTTATATGTATAAAAATAATATTATAAGCTCTGTTTCAATTATATCACAAGTTAAACTTGAAAAATTTTTTACAAAACAAATTTGAATATTATATGCCACTTTTAAAGATATACCCTGTTTTAAGTGTAAATTATGCAAAATTGTATATTTATAGATTTTTACGGAGTATAAATTTCCAGGTATAATACATATTTGACACTATATATTAATATTCACCTCATATAATCTCCTGATATAGTTTGGAAATGATAGTAATTAGGGATTAAATGATTTTCAAAACTTATACCCAAAAATAAAGTTTAAATTTAATGAAATGAGCAGGAGTGACAAAACTATTAACTTTCTATTTAGCCATGTGAAACATCAGATATACAGTTGCTTATTTGTTTTTTTCTAGTGTGAAAAAATATATAGTTATAGAAAACACCATAAAAATGACATATGTAAAATGCAAAATTTGGCCTTTTCTAATAAAATAAGACACCAAGAAGCATGTTGGAAAGCAATGAAAGATGGGTACTGACACTATGCAGTCAAGGCATTAATTGACATCTTTCAGTATAAATAAAATTAGGAAAAGCTTAGCCAATAAGCTTGGAAAAAAATATGGTAAGCATAATAAAAACAAAGAGTAAAAAACTTGTTAGGTACTATAGGATGCCTAATTTATCTTTCCAATATAAGGGAAAAGATAGATTAGTATCTGGTGGACAAAATTTTAAATGATTTTGAGATTGTTAAAAAGCCAAAAACTGAACTCATATTAGGTTTACCATGGCTATGGCTACGTGAAGCAAAAATTGACATACAAAAAGATGGGATAGAAATCTATGGTGACTTTGTACCATTTTGCAAGTATCCATTTAAACCCAAGACTTTATCTGATTTTGAGACAGAGACATCCGAAAAATCCAATTCAGATTATGTGCCATCAAAAAAGAAGATTTACAAGCCCGAAGGTGTAGTAATCTGGTAATAAGATCTAGAAGGAACTCAGAATCGGTAAGATGAATACCAGTGGTGTAGGTAGACCACCTGTGTAGTGCATGGTGATATTTAGCAATGTGTAACAGTGTGTAAAATAAGGGTGTGAAACACATACATTTAATGAATAGCATTTTGGCCCACTCCAAATCACGTGTTTGGCCCATCATGTTTAAAGCTCTACATGAGCCAGCTTGAGCTGAACCAAGGGCTAGCTCAGCTTGGCTCAGCTTGGCTTGTTCCAAAAGCTCACAAGCTAGTTCATTTTCAAAATCATATAAAATTTATTATAACTAAAATTTCAATATGTGACAACTTCGCCAATATTGCTCTAAATTTACTGATATTACTACCATTAAATTCTTCTCATCAAGAGGAATCGAACGGTAGTAAATTCATTAAATTTGGAGCAATATTGGCGAAGTTATCACATTTTGAAACTTTAGTTTTAATTTTCAATAAATCGAGCTAAGCCAGTACCAAGCCAAGCTATAACTGCAGCTTGGTTTAGCTCGGCTTGGCTCAGCTTAAAAGTTCATGAGCTGGCTTGGCTTATGTAGAATACTAGTTATGTTATTTATCACTTATGTAAACTATCACATAGGAAACCATACATTACACAATCTACACATCTCCTTGACCCTACATCACTCATCTTCATAGCACTCAGAAGGAATCTGATCTGAGCAGTCTGATCAAACAAATCCAGAGTAGGTCAAATGCGCTTTGCATAATCATCAGGTCAGATCAGATATTTTTTGCCCAGAAATAATTTGCGCAATGACATAATGGCTGATCACACAGCAGATATACTAGGCTTTGGTATTTTTTTTGCAAATAAAATTCTTTTTTACTCTTATCCACACATACATTGGTTGCATCAATGAAATTTCACAAAAAGTACTATATAAGCCAAAAACATGTCTATTACTTTACTATGTTTTGTCAAAGGAAATAATACTGTGAACACCTTCTTTGTCAATAATGATGGGAATAGTCTTGTTGTAAGGGTGAAAAGTCACCAGAGTTTGATAATTTTCTGCAGACAAGCTCAAACTATGGAAAGTGGAAATCTCTGGCAATCACAACAATCTCTCACTCTAGGATTAAGACGAACTTCTTGCAATAAATAATATAGGAGACTACTGGCCGCCAAGAACCCGCCTAAGAAGAGTATTCATGTTCCAGTCAAACCGCCTGTGACATCCTTTATTTCAAATCGTGAACAGGAATTACTTGGCCATATCATCTCATTGGAGACATTACTCAAAAGTCTGTTGTTACCCCTAGTCACATGTAGAGTTACAACTTACTACACCAGAAGATCATGTGGAAAATTAGAATCTACTGTACCCAACTGTGCCAAGCCAACCTAGCCGCAGCCTACTTAGCCTATTATTTCTATTATATTTATTATATTAATTATATTTAATATAATCGATATAATTATTTTATTTATTATATTTAATTTATTTATTATATTTATTATATTTATTATATTAGTTATATTTATTATATTAATTATATTTCTTATATATATCTATTATATTTATTATATCTTTATATGTAGTAACTTTTATATAAATAACGTTGGTATTTTCCTTCATTATAATTTAAGTTCTTAGTTCCTTTAGTTCTTATTCTTGTAATTATAAAGTTCTATAATAAAGTATAACCTTTTACACTATAAACGAACTTCCTATTTTAAGCGTGTCCTGTTTAGTGTTCCAATCCGAGGATATCCGTCACCATTTTATCCGATCCGATTAGAATCCGCCATTCGTTTATCCGATCCGATTAGAAATCCGTCATCCAGAATATCCGCATAAGTATCATCCGGATCATCCGGATTATCCTTAATTAGTAATCCATGTACCAATCGGACCACCCCTTAAATCTGCATTTCCAATATAGGGATATCCACCAATTTTTAATCGAATAGATTGAAATTTTTAATGAAAAAACTTTGACATTTGCTTTATTTTATTAAAGTATCAAAAATAGCTCTTAAAAAAGTCAAACTTTCACCAATAAACTTTAAATTTCTTCAATTCGTAATTTGTGTAACCATCGACACAAAACCGAAAAATTTTTTCACTTAATAATTTGAAAATAAATGCTTTAAATATGTTCAGAACTTATATTTTAAGATAAAATTACCATTTTTAAATTCCTAAAGATTGATTTATAAAAGTTTCATATAAGCATTAAAAATGGGAAAATGGATTATTGTTAGTTAACCTTAAAGTAGGAAATATTTTTACATTTATTATATCATTTTTTTTTTTAATATTCTATTAATATACGTCCAAAGTATATATGTGTGAATTTTGAGACTTCTTGCTAGTACTTTTATTAGAAAAAAAAATGATAAATAATTTTTACTAAAATTTCGCTAATTGATGATATTTAAAAGCAATTCGCAAAATTTTGAGTTTTGAAATACTTAAATTTATATTTTTACAAAATAGATTTAATCTCTAAGTTTTTTTTAAAAAAAAATTTAATTGGTTTGGCTAAAAATTGACCGACTTTACTTTTTTTGGAAGTGGAGATTTGATTTTGCCGATCACTAGGTCCGATTCATTCGTGGATCGGCAATTAAGGATTATCCGGATTATCCATTAATACCATTAAAATTTGTATAAGATATAATTACAGCCGGCATTAACTGATCGGCACTGGAATTTCCTTTTTTGGATCTTTGTACAACAAGAATTCCCAATTTTCACAGAAATCAAAATTTCCTTTTTTGGAAATTTGTGTAACATCACGTGATTTGGCGGATCCGAATCATTATAAATTAGATTTGTCGGATATCCGTCGGATGAATCCGTTATTATCCGTCATCCGAGAAATCCGATCCATTATTATCCGTCATCCGTGTGATCTGATCCGTTAACTTATCCGTTATCCGTATAACCACCAATATCCGGATATCCGTCAAAAAATCTGGATAGCGGCTAATCAGATTGGAACACTAGTCCTGTTTGATTGGATTTCAGTCATAGTTAAATGTACTTAATCTCCCTGACTGCAAATCATAGTTAATCTATTCAATATACCGAATCGGTTAACACCGTCTATAGTATGTATAAACTAGTGAAAGAAGTTGACTGGGAAAATTTTTTCTAACTAAACATCTATTGCGATATATACAAAAGCTTCAATGTCATCATTAGCCCAAAATGGCATGGAAGTCATCTAAGTGGTCAGTGAATGTTGAAACTGTGACTCTTATGAAAAGTACAGTTTGCCAGTGCTTGAAATGATAGAGCAGTACTAAAACCTCATGAATAATACTGATAGATATTTGATATATAGCAATCAAGATCTCTGTGAAATATTCATGTCAAAAAACAACCTTAAATTTACTGCACTCATTGAGATGCTATCAAAACCATTCAATTTCTAAACCTTTCTGAAAGTATGTGAACTCTACGATCTTAGCGTTGTGTATAAAAATGAGAATTTGCATGCTAAGGTAGAAAAAGTTCTTGGTATATTGCATGGTTATTGGAGGAGGCGCAGAAGTTGAACTTAGTTAACTCTTGATGTACACAGAGAGGAAAATAAAAAGGGTAAGGTCAACAGAGGTTTGGGATAGCAAATAATTAATCTGCAGTCATAGAATAGAAATTTCTCATGTACCACTGGTTAAGACCCAATATGTATTTATTTTTCACATTTATTGATAAAAATTTTCTGAAAAGTTCTAGCATAAATTAATGTTTTATGCAGATTAAATGATTTTCCCTTGATGATTTTCTTACAAACGGGATAGCGTTATTGATAAATTAAGGATAATAACGTAATTTTCCTCAAAAAGAATATTTCCAAATCAATTCTAGGGATTATATAAAAAGGAGCTGGCCCAGTTAATAAATCCTTTTAGCTGTTTTACAAAAA